TTTTGGGGGGCTATTCAGCAGTGCACAGGCTTTGTGTTCAGGAAACATTCTTGGTGGGGCACAGGGGACCATATGAGGTACCTGAGAGGAACCTGGGTTCTACCGTGTACAAGGTAAGTATCCTAACCCTGTTCTACTTCTCCAACTCAAAGAGTCAATTTAATTCTTACTAAAAAAATTCTAAGAAACTTACTAAAAAACTTTTTCACTTTTAGTGAAAAACACTGCTTATAGTTACTGTCAGCTATAAAGATGATATTTTGGATAGAAGATTGTAAAGGAAATCTTGAATCATCGATTAAATATTAGGACCTCATTCTTTATAAACCTCTTATTAAATATTAACACTATCAATTGGACTGTTCTAAATATTTGTCAGTCTTCTAAGTAACAATAAGTCCAAAACATTAGAAGAAACCATCAATTAGAACAGAATGCAAGCAACCTAGAAAATTGACAAATTCTGGGTGACTGGCTCCTTTTTATGCCATTATTTCTAGCATCTTCCTTACCTGGAAGAAGTATGACTGCAGAGGTTGATCCTTATTTTCTTCATCCACGTACAGACCTCCTACCACAAAGACCTGGTTTTGCTGGGTAACAATGCTGGAATGGTTTCGGGGTATCTGTTCTGCTAGTGCAGTTAGGTAGCATTCGTTCTCAGTGGGATCATAGGCCACGGCAGCTGTGTCATTTACCAAGAGGATGAGATCTTTGACAAACATCCCATGCCTGGGAATGTCATTCAGATAACCCGGGAGTAAGTCTTCATCGCCCACATCACCATTCACCTCCGCGCCCTCAGCCTTCTCTGCCGTTTTGCCAACTTCTGGGAGTTTCCCTGCAAAGGCGTCTTTGAGAACTTTCATTTTTTTCTGGAGATCGGGGTTGCTTTTAATGATATCGTCTTTCTCGACATGATCTTTAAAATATTTTTCTGCCATAAGGCGAAAACGAATGCAATCGAACACTTCATTAAGGCTCTTTACCCTGTTTTCTTTGTCTGTTCGCACCCACTTCATCACTGCTTCAAATACGGCTTCTTCCTTTTCTACGTTAAGGCTGTCGTTTGAAATGACTGAGATCAATTCCTGTGCTGACAGCTGCATAAAGTCCTCTTCCTTACAAATCTGTAAAAAGCGATCTGACACAAATTCCCGGGCTGAGATGGCAAGTCTGGGGCAGTCCAGAAGAAGTCCTAATCTCAGGATGGCTAGGCAGTTTCCAGGAGCAAGTCTTTTCTGAAGGTACGAAACACACACAGTGAACACCGAGGGGATCTGGAAGCGGCTGGCCAAAGCGAAAATATCTTGCACATTCCCGTCATTGAGGTCGATACTGGCAGAGTACAGGTACTTGATGATTAAATCCAGAACTGCGGGATCCACATTATCTAGGACGACCTCCTTTTTTTTCTCCTCCTCAATTTCAGATAAAAAATACTCACGGAAGTAAGGGCTACAAGCGGACAGAATCAATCGGTGGCAAGGCAGGCCTTTGTCACCTGCTTTCAGGGTGCAATCGATGAATTTGTTCTCATCCAGGAGATCTTTTAGACCGTCCTGAAGAAGAGTAGATTGGTAAAGCCGCAGTTCCTCTGTGAGTTCCCGCTGGGAATCCATTCTGTGCGTCACCTGGGTAAGGAAGGGGGACACTGAAGGCTTTAGCTCCTCTCTGCACACAGGTCTAGCTGTTAAAAAGGCAGATCAGTGTGCTTTGCCCAGCTTGAAGTCTTTGCACTTTAATCCCACCAGCTAAATATAGGTACCAGCTCTAACAACCGGAATTTAGGAGAGCTAGTTTGGAAAGAAGAGTTATTCTTGCAGCTGTTACAGATTGAAAGGAACAACTGGAACTTTTTGTCAAGAAGGAAACAGTTAAACGAGATTTAAATGTTGGGGAAAAACTTGAAATAACAAAAAACATGGCGAGATAATAAAGACTTCAGCAAGAAAATGTTTATTGAGGGAACCCCACCACTCCTTGCCCAGAAAAAAAAGTCACAAAATGAGTCAGTCTACTAAAAACAGTCTAGTGGCAAAGCCATTTGGCTCTCTGAGTTAATGATGAAAAGGTTAAGAATGTGACGCAAATTTATTTGCCTTCTCATAAGCAAGATTCTCTTTCCAATAACTGTTACACACAAATTCTATCATCTATTTAAAACAGAAGTGAACTTATAGGTTTTTTTTTAAGATGTGGGCAATGTAATTTTCTATTATCTACTGTAATTATAGGCTTTCAAAGAAACCTTTAAAATAACATCTCCAGCATATTAGAAACAATAAATGCAGAAATATTAATTTCAAAGACATTCTAACTCTTTATTCTTAAAAAAATTAGCATTGAATTACAAATTATTCACATGGTCTATCTCTATAAAGGATTTGATGTGACAAAACACTAATAATAAAAACTAAAAGTTAAAAGGCATCATCAAGACCAGAAAATACGTAAAATAAAGTCAAGAAGAAAAAAATTCACACACATACAATGTGATCACTAAAGATACTATGCGATTATGCAATTTCTTTCTCCCTTTTTTGACTTTTGGGCCATACCTGGCAGTGCTCAGATTTTACTCCTGGCTCTGTACTCAGGTATCATTCTTCGCAGTCCTTGGAGGACCATAGGCCATGTAGGGGATGGAACCCTGGTCAGCTGCATGCAAGACAAAGGTCTTAAACTCTGTACTTTCCTTCCCACACCTCTCTTTGTGTGGGGGGGAGGGGGCAACTGGAATCAAACCCAGGGCATCACATACTGAGCCACACTGACAGCTCAGATATTTTAAGTGTTGAAGTGATTTTAAGTGTTGAAGATCTTTAATGCAAAACTAAGAAATTGAATAGATGCTATAAACAGAAATTGAAAAACATACTGTGTAAATTGAAAAATAAAAAAATATACCACTGGAATCATAATATAAGATATTAAAACAGTATATCATGTTAATTATGAAATACTAAAGGAATTACTTATATCTAAACTTTGTGTGTATGGTGTTAGGGATCAAACTCATGGTCTTACATGCAAGTTATACACTTTACAACTAACTGGACTACATCCCCAGATTCCAAAAGTCATGCTTTGGAAGAAGATTCTTTTTTGTTTGTTTTTGTTTTTGTTCTTGGTGATAATCCTGATGATGCTCAGGATTTCTCCTGGCTCTGCACTTAGGAACTTCTGGCAGTGCTGGGGGTGGGAGGAAGGGGGGCATATGGGATACTGGGGATCAAACCCGGGTCGGCTTAAGGGAAGGCAAATGCCCTATCCACTGTACTATCACCCGATCCCTCTTTTAAAAGAATTTTTTTTCTTTGGCTTTTGGCTCACACCTGGTGATGTGCAGGGGTTACTCCTGGCTCTGCACTCAGGAATTACTCCTGGCAGTGCTTGGGGGACAGTATGGGATGCCAGGGATTGAATTCGGTTTGGCCACATGCAAGACAAACACCTTACCCACTGTACTATCACTCAGGCCCCTTAAATCTTTTTTTTTCATGAAGAAAATTCTTTCTATAAACAGAAAGCATGGTATAACTTCATGATTACATTTTGTTACAAAATTGTTACATTTTTCTCAACAAAGCAAGGCTGTGATTTTGAAGGCTGATATCCAAAGCAAACTCATTAACTCCTTTTGGTTGGGTTTGTTTGCTGCAATGGATCCAGGACCTCCTAAGTGCACCATAAATATGTCAAATGAACGAATGCCTCCAGATCTTGGAATTGTGTGCTTTTAAATCTCAAGGTCTCTATGAGTCAAAGTTTTTCCTTTTATTTTACACCACAGTGAAGTCAATGGTGCTGTCAGCTGCTAGAACAGCAGCTGAAAGAGGAGCTCATTGACTCTTTTTCCATTTATAGATGCCACTAAAGGTTTTAACATACTAGAGAAAACTAACAGCTGCACCCTGGTTTAAACAATAAATGACTCACGTCTACGTGTAACACCTAATATTTGAAAAGATCAATGAGTCAGAAGCAAACCCCATGACACGATATTTCAAATTATTCCCTACTAGTCAGCAATTTTAGTCACACTCTTTTGCTTGAGAAACTATTTAAATATTACTGATATGCATATTTTCAAACTTCTTTCCTAATGTAAAGTGTTTGTTATTTTAACACCATGCCTGAAAATGTAGAAATACTTCCATGTTTAAATGAAGTAACCAATTTTCAGCTTTTGTTTATTGACTTTTTAAAAAAATTAAACTCAGATTACTATTTGATTGTACTCTGTGCCTGTGGTCATACCTATAGTTGTGTATTATTTTAAATGTCTTTTTTACACACACTCCTTTCCCTTTAGAGCAGGGGTGGAGAACTATTTTGTTGCTAAGAGTCATTTGGATATTTATATCTAATTTGTGGGCCATTCAGTACAGACAGACAGGCTGTGGAAAACTGACTCAAGAAGCATACTATTTATCCTGTAATGTACCAAGGCCAGACTATCTGATTTTTGTGTCCCTTATATGGCCCATGGACTAGATGTTCCTCATCTCTGTACTCTATTGGCTAATTTCAGTAATTTGACAAAGGTTCCTTAGATACTGTCTTGTTGCTTTGGGTCATGCCTGGCAGGGCTTTGGGGTACTGTATGTGGAGCTATGGATCAAACCCAGGTTGGCTGAATGCAAGGCAAGTGCCCTATCCATTGTACTCTCTCAAACCCTCCTTCTCCACTTTTTTTTTTTTAAAGCATTGGTCCTTTTCATTATAACCCTCTATACATCATCCAAATAGAGTTTGAGTTGATTGAGAGTTCAAAGTATGTGTATGTATGTGTTACTGAAGACTGAACTCTACCTCAGACAAGTGAAGCATGTGCTGCACCGCTGAGCAACATCCCCTGGTCCATAATAATATATTTAAACTAGATTACTGTAACTTACTTTTACTTTTACTGTAACTTAAAAAGCAGTATTTTGATTACTCCTTAAGAAAAATGCTATTCTTTTAAATAATAATGTCAAAACATTAAATTGTGCTGCATAAATTCTTTATTAAACCCAACATGATACAATCATTTAATATCTGCAGACTAATAATTTACAAGTATTAAGTACAAAACTAATATTACAAACCAGATACATTTCAATTTAAAAACTTTTTATAAAACTGACAGTAAAATCTTAGATGAGGTTTTCTTAATTATAAAAAAAACTTCCTTAATGTTTTCTGTAGATGTAAACAACCAATTTTTTGCATTATTATAGGCAACTAGAATCTTAAATCTTGAGATACTTTAAATAGAAATCCAGCTCAACTCAAGATCAACTCATTACTTCCCAAAGTCCCTGCAGGGTGAATCCATCCTTCAATTTCTCTATTGCAAGCCCCAGTTCTTCTGAAAATACAGGTTCACGATCTTGTTGCTTTTTGGGAGATAAGAGGATGAGATCGGAATAGAGAAGGTGGCAAGGAAGAGGGGAAAAAAAACAAAAAATAGGTTTCACATAAGTTTGTGAATTCTAAATGTTGGAATATAGAAATATTTTTTCATATAATGTAGGTAAAAATATTCTTACCTTATTTCCATCAGCAAAATAAGCCTGTAAGATAAGAAAATTATATTTACACATTCCACATATAATATGTAAAATAGATTAGTAGGCTAAGAAATAGACAGTTTACAGAATAAGTCTGTAACCAAATTGATTTTTACATTCCTTGACTATGCTCCTAATTTTTTCATCTCTCTTTCCAACTAGGATCACAGGATTCACATCTGTTAATCATTACTGAGTAGAAGAATTATGCTTTAAAATCTGGAAAATTCTGCCTTGTTATTAATATATAATTTTCTTTATTAACTTGAAAGGACAGGGCCGGAGTGATAGTACAGCAGGTAGGGCATTTGTCTTGCACGCGGCCGACCTGGGTTTGATCCCTGGCATCCCATATGGTGCCCCCAGCACCGCCAGGAGTAATTCTTGAGTGCATAGACAGGAGTAACCCCTGAGCATTGCTGGGTGTGACCCAAAAAGAAAAAAACACTTGAAAGGATAATATGATTTAGAAGTTTCATTCTTATTTTTGGTTTAGAAGGTGATGCTGGCAAAACAAAAGTAATCAGTGCTTTAATCTGTGAGTAAATGCATGATGCATACCTACCATGGTCCTGATCTGAGTTCAACTCATGGTAGCACATCAACATGTTCTTCAGATAAGAACTAGGTGTAGCCCTAGGGGTCCCCAGAATGGGGTTAACACACACTTGCATGTGGCTGGTCCTCTTTCAGTGCCTGGTACCACATGGTTCCCTGAACATTCCCAGGAGTGACTTCTGAGTACTGGTGGGTATCACTCAAATCTTCCCACCCTGCCCCCCAATATCTCAAATTTTATGGTATTTCATACATTACTTAATTTGGCTATAAATCCCAAGAAATGTTTCCTTCATGATACTGACCACAAAAGCATCCGTGTGATCATCAGCATCGATTTCTACATCATCTTGAATTTGTTCAACTGTCAGAGCTTCAATGGGCTGTGGCTAAAAATCAGTACATGTTAAGGTGCATCAAAGATATGATATTAATAAACATTAATATATATTTCAAGTAAGGGGTTCTAATAATTATAAATACAAAAGTATGACAAAATTAAAAGTTACTTATATAAAAGTAACTACATGGCAAAGGAGATGGCCCAAGTGATAGAGCACAAGTCTAGCATGTGTAAGGCCAGATTTGGTCTTTGAATTACTTATTCCCTGAAGTACTGCTAGGTGTAGGCCTGATGGCCCCACACAACACCGGCATGGGCATCACTGAGTATCACTGCCAACCAATGCTTAGCTCAGATCTCCCGAGAGATCTCCTATGAAAGCAATCACTCATCCCCTCAAGAAGAGATACTCTCTCAGTGTTTTACACCTGCACACAGCTAGGTGACCACGTGCAAACCTACCTCTCAGTCTCCTTCACTGTGAGTAATAATAGGAATGCTACACTTCATAATGTTAGTGAAAGAGTTTAATACTGTGATACATAGAAAGGTCTTAGAGTAGTGAGTGGCAGACAGGCAAACAGGAGATGTCGCAACACGGTCACTTAATTGACAATATTCACCAAGAGCACACTGTGTGCTGGTTGTGATTGCTGGAGATACGGTAGTTAAAGAAAACAAAAATTCCTGATTTCATGGAGATGGTGCATTGTGGAGGAGACTGGTGCGTGTAACAAAAATTAAAGCAAGCAAGCAACAAGCAGAATCAGGGATAAGAAGTGGGGGAGGCTTCTGTGTGGCTGAACAGTCTGGAGAGAGCTCCCTGAAGAGGCAACTTGGAGCTGGGTGCTACAGGAGGTGACCATGAGTTCTTGCTGGCCGGCATCTATGCACACTGGGAACTGAAGAAGGGAAAGGGAGGTGAAGTGAAAGACAGAGACAATGAACAGAACTGACAGACTGATGATTCCTTGTGCCAGGATTAATAGCTTTGTGAGAGAAATTTCTTTCATTATTTTAAGAGTCCCATGCTCAGCAAACAGTGCTAGCTTTATTTTTGGGGGGAAGGGGGGCATACCCAGCAAAACTCAAGAGTTACTCCTGGCTCTCAGGAATTACTTTTGGTGTTTGGGGGACCATATGGGATGCAGGGGATCAAATCCGGGTCAGCTGCCTGCATGATAAGTTGACAAGTATACCCTACCCACTATACTATCTCTCAGGCTCCTACTCTTCTATTTTTAAATGATAAAACTGAAGTTCAGATTTGTCTTGGGTCACAAATAAATGTTGAAATTATTACCAGATTCAGTTTTTCAGGTTCGAAGGTCTATGCTTATTCTATAATATTCTATAATCAAAAGTAATAGCCAGGGAGGGAAGAGTGATGGAGCAGCCTGAGAGGGCACCAGGGAGAAAGCTTCTGGCAACAGTGCCACTGATGGGGGTTAACAGCAGGTGCTAAAGTAGGGGCTGATAACACCAGTAACAGGAATGCCAAGGGAAGAGGCTGAAAAGTTTAAAACAGAGTCAGGTGGCTGGGGATCAGAGTACAGATCTCAGTAACTGCAGCTTAAATGGAAAGAAAGAGGTAGAAATAGGGAATGGACTGGAATGGAGAAAATGTGTACAAATAGGAAAATGGGAAAAATAAAACAGAAAAAAAAGGTTTTATACATACTTAAAAATAAGTTAAATAAAAATCAGCAGGATGTTGCTTTTCAGCAAACAAGACGTGACCATTTTAGGTCTGCCAAATTTGAGATGTTTAACGAAATCCTCGCATGTTTTACTTACAATCTTTTCCCTCCTTTTGCTGGTAGATACAAACCAGTAGGTGCTCTACCACTGAGCCATGTCCCTGGCTTAGACAGACACTTTAAACTATAAATATGAGCTTGGGAATGAGAAATTCAACTTGTCATTTGGAATGCTCATCTACATGAAAACAGTCAAGAATACTAGGAACCACAATAAGTTTTGTTAATTAAGGCCAGAAAGATAGACCCAAGAGTTCTACAGAAACACAAGCTGAAGGGCCACCGCAGAGGCGGTTATTACTGAAGAATATACAGAGATGGCAGAGTGAAAGGGAGAACAGTGAATGAAGTGCAGGTTGGGAAGAAAACACAAAAGTATGATTAAAGACAAAATACATAGGATTATACATAGTAACACAGTGTCAACAACTCAGTGCGCTGGAAGGCAACAAGAACCTGGCTGAAATCAGAATGTGTGAAGGTGTGCTCCACCCCCAACACTGCTGCCTGAACTCTGGTCACATCCTTGTATCCCAAGAGCAAGAGAAGCGATATCGATAAGGCTCAACATTCAACATTCTCAGTCCCTGACGGGACACTGATGAAATGGTAGACATCCAGGGGTCAGCCAAAGGCCAGACAGCCAGGGAGGGAACAGCCCGATGGAACAGCCCGAGAGGGCACCAGGGAGAATGCTGCTGGCAAGAGTGCCACTGATGGGGTGGACAGCAGGGAGAGTGCAATAGTAGGGGGTTGGTAGGCACACCAGGGACAGGAGGACCAAGGCGAAAGGCTGAAATGTTTAAAACAGTCAGGTGCTGGGGATCAGGGTACAGAAATGAGAAAATCAACAGGAAGGCCAAGAGCAGATATATGGGGATGATGTTAAAATCTTTCATGGCTGCTATGGCTGTGTGGACACAGGCCAGCTGACTCCTGGAGTTGTAAACCTGGGGGAGCCTGGAGAAGGAGGATGGAGGATGTACGGTTTGTCCAGGCTAATGGAAAGATGAAGGAAAGTGAAAATAAAGCTGACAGAGTGGGGGCCTAAAGTGTGCGTGTTGCAGAGGGACCTTGCGCATGTATTCTTAGGGTTGACTGCTCCCTTAGAAGAGCAGACCTGGATGATGATACAGCTGGTGAAAGAGAGGAAGCAGGCCCCGTGAGGAGAGCCAGGGGCAGGCTCAGAGCAGAGTCTGCTTAAGCATCTTTTCAAACAGTTTAAATCATAATTCAGGCGTTCATTTTCAAGTGTGTAAAAGCAACTCAGCCCACTGTGTTTCTCATGCTGAATAAATTACCTTCTCTTCCATCTCATAATCAACTCCAAATATTGGACTGGCAGAATAGACTTTGTGAAGTGAATTGATTTCCTTCACAGATTCTTGTAGTTTTTCCACAGGATCTATTTTAAAGCCAAGCACATATCCTCCACTCTTTAAGAAAAAAAAAATAAAGAAAAACCAAAGAAGGAAGCCTGCAAGTCTTGTTTTTAGTACATGATACACTATAGCTTTACTTATCCTTATTTTCGAGAATAACAAGGATTTCACATGATTTTATCTGTAAATACCAAATCAGTTAAGATTTAAAACTAAACAGAAAAAGCCAGAGAGATAGTACAGCAGGTAGTGTTTGCCTTGCATGTGGCTGACCTGGGTGTGATTTCGGGCATCCCATATGGTCCTGAGCCCAACAGGAGTGATTGCTGAGTGCAGAGCCAGGAGGGAGCCCAGAACACTGCATGTGGTCTCCAAACCAAACCAAACCAAACTAAACACAAATACCTAGGAGACAGGCTATGGGAACTAATTTTTTTTTCCCTGAAAAGTAATAGATCAGAGTCTGAAGAGATAGTGTAGTGAGCAGGGCACTTGCCTTGCACACAGCCAACCTGGGTTCAATCCCCAATATCCTATATGGTCTGAGGACTGCCAGGAGTAATTCCTGAGTCAGAGTCAGGAGTAACCCCTGTGTGTTAACTGAGTGCATCTCCCCAACAACCATTCCCCTCCCCCCAACACACACACCAAATAAATACAATAATAGGAAGAAAGGGAGCAGCATATCTTATGCCACCTCTTTAAAGGAGAAGGGAGATAATTTACCACAACAGGTTTTAGTAGACGGTTGTTAAAAAATTTAAGTAGCGTATTATAATAATTAGAATATATACTTTGGATTGAAAGCAAATCCTTTTGGGATTAAATTCTGGTTTTATAAATATTTCCAGATGATATCAGAAAACTTAATTTCTGTAGTCTATACCTTGCTTTTCTAACCTTTCCAGTGACTGACTTGTTATGTTAAATTAGATTATATGATACTTAGCACCAGTTTCTAGAATTTAATAAGCCTTTAATAAATGGCAATATTAATCTCTAGGCCCAGGTAAGGAGCAAGTAGATGCTGGTACTTATACTTGGAAATGTTTATATAAATAAGTGTTCATGTAAATATTTGATTTAGTTGTATTTCTGCCCAACCTGGCATATTAGTTTGCATACAGATATAGTGTAATCTGTGTATAAAATCTCAGGTGTGTGTGGGAGATGACATTTGTAAATCTGTATTTCTCACAGACATTCGTCTGAAATCAAAATCCAGGCAAACATTTCTAACTTCTCCAAGACTTAATTTCCTCTACTGGAAAATAGGGGGGGGTGGGGGATACTAATTATGTTATACACTGTGTGAAGTGAGGTAATGCTTGACAACAGTAACATGACTGTTATTCAAAATAATGGAGAGGCTGGAGATAGGAAGTAAGGCACTTGCCTGCTTGAAGCTGCCCTGTCGGATTTCTGGTACTACATATGGCCCCCTGCAAACACTGCCAGGGGTCACTGCTGAGCACAGAGTCAACAATAGCTGTTTGTGGCTCCAGTGCTCCTTCTCCTCAAATATGAAATGTAAGGCAGCTCTCCCTATAGCTACCTGGGCTTAGTCAAAATCAACAGGGTTGAAAATATTGGATGACATACTGCTTTTCTGCGGATGTTTAATGACAGAAAGTTCATTGCTATGCAGTTTTATTCAAGAAAACAACAGCATCATTGCACAATTCTTGATGGCAATATATTCGAATAATTAAAATTTCTTTGTTTTGATTTTGGGGGGCCACAGCTGCTGCTCAGGGCTTACTCTAGGTTCTGCGCTCAGGTTCATTCCTGGTGGGGCTTGGGAAACCAAGTGCAGCGTCAGGGATCAAACCAGGTTGGCCACATGCAATACAAGCACCTTAACTATCTCTCTGGCTCCAAATTAAAATTCTTAATTTCATATTACAAGTTGCTATTCTTCAGTGTGAACTTGTTACCATATATATTAACAATATATAAACTGGAAGTTTAAAATATATTAAATATTAATAAATAGAGTAACTTACCTGCTGAGAACTTTCTATGACAAGAGCTAAACCAAATTTTGAATCTCTAATCTTTATTGACCTCTAGATATAAAAGGAAAAAAACAGGTTTTAATCATTTGATAGCAGTGATTCCTTAACACAAGATTTTCATCTTATACATGTAACTACTTTCATAATCTAAGAAAAATAATCCTCTCTAATAGCTTCATTACATTTCCAAGTCAATGAGATCAATTCAATGAAAAATTTCATACTGGGGGCCCTGGAACAATGGTACAGTGGTAGGGTGTTTGCCTTGCACACAGCTGATACAGGTTTGATTCCTAGAATCCCATATGATCCTCCAAGCACTACCAAGAGTGGTTCCTGAGTGCAGAGCCAGGAGTTACCTCTGAGCATTACCAGGTTTGACCCCCAAACAACCAACCAATCAAAAAAAAAACCCTAAAATAATTTCATACTGGATTAAGAAATCTAACTTGTGAGACAATACAAAAATGCACCTCTGAAATATGTTAAATCTCTGGCTCAAATATGCCTCACTTCTAGAATCATCAGTTCTCAATATTTTTAAGATTTTCATTATTAAAATCCCCCACCCCCTTCACTGAAAACCCCAGTCTTTCTAGGGGTAGTCAGAATCACCTAGGTGCATGTGAGGTAACAGGGATTAGGTTCAGGACCTCACACTTGCCCTAGCACTTTCCAAGCTGCTGAGTCATCTTCTAGGCCCTTCTCACGGGGGATCACAAACATGACGGCCTGATTACCTCCTTCAGGGCAGATGGCAGCATTTGGCGCCTGAGCTCATAACCCTGCACTTGCTCGGCAAGTAAGCCCCTTAAGTCACTGAATCAATTCTGAATATTTTAAACTAAAGGAAAGAAATTTAAAAAATAATGTTCTCCTTTCTAAGTATCTCAGACAGTGGGGTTCCCAGGTTACCTTGGTTCTAACAGTGGCTGAGATTTAAGCAACTGGCCTCACACACTTGCCTTTACTTCCTGCTTTAAATCACCGAACCATTTTCTGAGCCCTTCTAGCCAGGGTCCTTCTTTCCAAACAACAGATCTGTCAGGATTGCCTTAGCACATGCAGGAGATACTGTGATTTGATCTTGTTGCCTCAGGCTTGCCTTGAAGGTATGGTAAGCTATTAAGCCATCTCTGGGGTCCCAGGGTAGTCTTTCAAGTTACAGAGCCGTGTCTTTTGTGGTTCCCAAGAAAGGATTAATTTTTAAATCTCACATGCCTCTTACTTCTTAAAACACAGGTGTTCTCTAAGAATTGATATTCTATTTATTTTTAAATAGGTTAGAGGCTCTCTGGATATAAAAGAAGGCCACAATGAGTCAAATGTAAATATAAATAGGTCCGAGGGGAGGGGAGTGGTCAGGGGACCTTGGGGCAGCAGTGGAAGAATGCTGGTGGAGGGTTATAGTAGTAGCACTATGACTGTAAAACAATGACTTTCATACCGTTGGAAACTATGATATCTCAATGAAAGCACATTAATTAAAAAATTAATAGGTAAATGGGACACGAGAGTGACACCAGTGGTATGGGAGAAGGAAAAAGGGGCAGAATGACAAAGGCAGGGGGGACCTGTAGAAGGTGGCACACAAGAAAAGATCCTGCTGAAGAGGTTATGAGAACCACAGAGCATCTGACATCACAACCGACCTGCTGACCAAAAGCCTGATAAGGAGCATCCGAGGTTGCTTCTGGGCATGTCTCACCTCCCAGACAGATGGAGAGAAAGTGAGAAAGGCACATAGACAGACACACTGTTTGAGGTGGCTGGGTTGAGTTAAAATTATATTTGTCATGAAAACCTGAGATTTCACAACGCAGTTGTATTCAGAGTCCCTGTAAAGAGCCATAATACATGGACGGGTGCCCTCACTGTAAACAGGTATCCGACCAGCTGAGTAAGGGCAGCATAGGCTCAGATAGAAACTGGCAAGAAGACGTGAGTATATAATGAGTGAGGTCAGGGGCTGTGGCTGAGGCTGAAGTTAGAACATGACTGCTGCAGTGACAGACTGTGAAGGTGTCGGGTTGCAAGTTATTTGGGTCAGGCAGAATCTGTTCCAGGGGCCATATTTGGCAATTGTATTATTAAATAACAAAAAGTTATTTTAAAAGTCTTGTCTGATTATATGACTGAAACCTAATTATGAAAAGCTTTGTAAGGATCTAGCTCACAGTGAATCAATAAAAAAAAAATTGAAGAAAAAAAAAAGGCCTGTCTGAGGCTAGAGAGACAGTTTAGGGATGAATGTGTTTTGTATTGAATGTAGCTGACCCTGGTATGATAACTAGCACCTTCTATGGTCTCCTGAGTACTGCCAGTAGTGACCCCTGAGCACAGAGCTGGGAATAAGCCCTGAGCACCATAAGTATAGTTCCCCCAGAAACAAAAAGAAAATCCTATCTGAAGTATGCTTGCTGCTGAAAGCACAAGGCTGTTTACTATTTAGTAATTATTTAGCACAAAAGAGGTTTAGTTAGTTTACATACATACAATATAGAAACTGCATATGAACCTAAATGAACAACACAATTCAACAAACATCTATGTTATGCAGACAGTCATATCTTCACAGCCATAACTGTTAAGTTGCTCTTTAGATGGCTGAAAATAATTTTCTTCCTATCAGGCTCTATGATTTTGTTTATTGTGTTGCTTTTCTATATTAGAGTGAAAAATCCTTGATAGCAGATGCTGTGTATTGGCTCATTAACTTTACTGTTTTTTTTTTTTGGTGTGTGTGTGTGTGTGTGTGTGTGTGTGTGTGTGTGTGTATGGGGGGGGTCACACCCACTGGTGCTCAGGACTTTTTCCTGGCTCAGAAAGCATACCTGGTGGGGCATGGGGGACTGTATGTGGTGCTGGAGATCAAACTCGGGACAACCACATGCAAGGCAAGAGCCTTAACCTCTGTACTATCTCTCCACCCCCTGGTTCATAATTTTCATGATTATTTATCTGCAACGAACACAGAGTAGGAACTCAATATTTGGCAAATGCTCAGATATTTTAAAATAACTTAGAAATAAAATGATTCGACAAAAGATATGTTTGGAAATATTTTGCAAATATTTCAAGGAATTATCTTCATCTTCTAAGAAGACACATCAAGAAATGACATCTGGGGCTGGAGCAATAGCACAGCGGGTAGGGTGTTTGCCTTGCATGTGGCCAACCCGGGTTCGATTACCAGCATCCCATATGGTCCCCTGAGCACTGCCAGGAGTAATTCCTGTGTGCATGAGCCAGGAGTAACCCCTGTGCAATGCCGGGTGTGAACCAAAAAGCCAAAGAGAAAAAAAAAAAAGAAAAAAAAAAGAAATGATATCTAAATGTCATACACATTGTATTTACTCAATAATCATTTATTAAACTGCTCAATCATTATCACCTTACATCCTACTGTTAAGGGTGATTATCACTGTACAATCTTCCTGTTTTTAGGAATTATTTTAATTTAGAATCCTAGAAGTAGTTTATGTAAAATAAAATTCTTCAGTTTTATTATTTGTTTAATTATGTCACTGAATCACATATTTTTTGTAGCATCAGCAGTAGCAAGAAATATGTTTTTGCCTTTATTTTTTTTCTTTTTGGGTCATACCCAGTGATGCACAAGGGTTACTCCTGGCTTTGTACTCAAGAATTACTCCCGGAGGTGCTCAGGGGACCATATGGGATGCTGGGAATCAAATTTGGGTCGGCCACGTGCAATGCAAATGTCCTACCTGCTGTACTATTGCTCCAGCTCCGCAAGAAATATTTTTATCTATTCCCAAAACAAACTGGTCTCAATTATAAGTAAACAACTTTAATAGCTTCTACTGAATTTAGTTAAAACTTCATGCCTAAATAGTGATTAAGCTGCTTAACAGCCATGATCCCTGACACACGACAATGAATCTTGGAACCCAGTGGCCTTTGCCAGAAATCCCTCTAGATTTAATTATTAAAATTTCAGAGTTCTAAAATCACACGGCCACTATTGCGGCCATGCAACATCATATGCTATTCATAATCAGCAACAGAAAACAAATTGTCTAATGCTGCCTTTTCGGCAGGTCTGAGTGTTGGGGGAAAAATCCCAAATAATAATGGTGGGTCTGGTGTCAAAATATTGAATGTAATCAAATTAGAGAGAGAGAGTAATATGGAAATCATCTGCCAAACAGGTAGGGAGGGGGTATGGGATGGGGGGGGCAGATACTGGGGGTTTGGGTGGAAGAAAATGTACACTGATGAAGAGACGGTCATCATTGTATGACCGAGCCTTAATCCGAAAGCTTTGTAACTGTTCTCATGGTGATTCAATAAATAAATTTATAAAAACAAAAACTTAACACCCAAGAATGGCCGAGATTAGTACCAGAAATTTTACTCCATGGCTTGGAGGCCAACAACACACGCTAGGGGAAAAGGGAGCTCAGATAGAGAAGGGAACACCAAATAAAGGGTGTTGGGAGGATCTTCCCAGGATGGGAGAAGCATGCTGAAAGTAGACTATAGACAAACATGATTGTCACCCATTGCCTCTTTTGCAAACCACAACACCTAATAAGAGAGAGACAGAACAAAAGGGAATGCCCTGCCACAGAGGCAGGGTGGGATGGGAGGATGGGGGGTGGGAAGGATACTTGGATCCGTGGTGGTGGGAAATGGGCACTGGTGGAGGGATGGGTATTTGATTATTGTATAATTGAAACCCAAGCACAAAAATTTGTAAGTCTACAACTGTACCTCATGGTGTCTCACTAATAAAAATTAAAAAAAAATGTATGCACTTACAATTTGCAGATATGGTATACTGACATTGAAACTGTCATTCATATTTGCATGCCACACAATTCTCACATTGGTAATAAAAAAGGTTCCCAAATTTCCCTGTAAAAGAGAGTAAGGAGAGACATACAAACAATTATTTACTTGAATGCTTATTCTTAAATATTTTCTAAACACTGGAATAATTCTGGTCATTACAGCAGAAGAAAGTATCATAACTGAGTACTGTGAGGTATTAATGACTTTTCAGTAGCTAATTAAGGGCATGGACTCAGGATTAGACCTAATCAATTACTCTCAATATATCTAATCAATATACCAGGCCATTTGTCAGACCATGGGCAAATTTAATCTTGGTATATTGTTTCAAATGAAAGGTGGAAATCTGAGTAAATAGCATAACAGCACTGTGTCTGGCACACAGTGAGCATCTTACAAATATTAAATCTTATTATTAGCCAAGACCAGGGATAAGTCAAGATAAGAGAGTTGTGAGAGTCCAAACATATTTGATAATGCATTCAGTTCACAAGAGATATTTGCAAGACTTCCTTATCAACTTCAGACTAAAACTGTTCTTTAAGGCACCCAAAATGGTCCCTTAGCATCTTATCTATACTAGTAGATGGATCCTTACCTAATTGGTTTAGAAAAGTATCCCAGACCTAGTAACATGGCATCAAGATTATCTGCCACTACTGATCTATTTCTCCCTCATTACCTCTACCTTCCCTATTACATATATTCAGAGGATTATTCTTTATTTTATTCTATGAAGGTGATCATGAAATAATAACTCTTAACTCCCAAATCAAGGGCCAAGTTTGGTGGTGGGGACTGACAGAAAGCTGTATTTTATTTTAATTCATTTGGGGGGATATTGGACTATACCTGGGAGTGCTCAGAGATTACTTCTGACTCTGTGCTCAGAGATCATTCCCAGTGGAACTTGGGGACCATATGTAGTGCTGGGAATTGAATGGAGTCGGCCATGTGCAAGGCAAGTGCCTTAACCCCTGTACTCTCTGGCCCAGGAGGGCACATTTTAATTGTTCTTTTTCCATAAACATATCATGCTGACAAAAGCATCCATATTTTCTATGAAATATTATATCTGATAATATATCCTAATTAATTAGAAGTGCCAAAGAGCCAGAAAGTATAGTATAGCAGGTAGGGTACTGGCTTTGCATGTAACCTGGGTTGAAATCTATGGCACCACACATGATTTTCTGTGCATTAGGACTAATTCCTGAACAAAGTCAGGAATGGGCCCTGTGTACCAACAGGTGTGGCCCAAAAACTGGAGGAGGGGGGAAAGGAGGGAGGGAGAAGGAGGAAAAAAAGGAAATGTCAAATTTTCTGTTAGGTAGGTAGTTATGTATCTAATTACGAACAGAGTTAACTCCTGTCCTACCCTTCTAAGACCCACATTCTAATATGGGGGCACAGGCAAGCTCTGCATTTCACAGTAGTAATAATTTGGAGTGATAAATAGGTATATGCTCTGTAAGTAACACACAGAAAGCTTTTTTGTGAAAGTGACAGCCAAGCTTTGACCTAAAGCAGTGGTCATAAGCTATGGCTCATAGCCCAATTTGGCCTGCAACCTCATTTTGTACTGCCCACAAGGAAGAATAACTTTCACATATTTTAAAAGGTTGGAATAAGATAAAAAAATAACATCTCATGATACATGAATCTGGCATGAAATTCAAATTTCAGTGTCACTAGTTTTATTGAGCCAGCTATATTCCTGTTTACATTTTGTCTGTGACTTTGTCACACTACAAAGGCAGAATTGAGAAGGCAAAGACTGTATAACTGCAAAGGTTGAAACACCTAACCCTCTGCAGAAAGAAATTTGCTCCCTCCCAGGAGAAGCCATTCAGATAGGAGTTTTTTATAGCCTATGGAAACTAAAATGATTCAAATCCAGTTTCCTCACAATGTATGATTCAATATTTAGCATTAAGTTCTTCACTCAAATACTAAAGCTTTAATAATACAGTAGTCAACATTCGTATCTAGGTTGTAACACACACAAAAGATGGACATATTTTTAGCAAGAGACAAATTTCCCCTAGAAATGAGTGTGCTACTGTTCCAACTATTAGACGCTGATGTGACTCAACTTGCCATAATTTTAAGAGCAAACTGAAAAATTAAAAGTATGGACATAAGAAGAATATAGGCAAGGTTTATGTTTCATTCCCTTAAAAATAAACAAAAACCCAAATGGATTAAAATCTTCACTGGCTATTTACTCCATGGCTCTCCTCCTTTTGCATATAGTATAAAGATATGAGGATTATTTTTAAAAAATGTGAAAGTTAGGTTAAAGGGATGGATGATAGTACAGCCGGTAGGGCATTGGTCTTGCATGCAGCCGACCTGGGTTTGATCGCCAGCATCCCATATGGTCCCCCATGCACCGCCAAGAGTGATTCCTGAGCACAGAGCCAGGAGTAAACCCTGAGCATTGCCAGGTGTGCCCCCAAAAGAAGGGGAAAAAAAAGAAAGGTAGGCTGGAGAGATAGTACAAAGATTAAGGCATGTGCCTCACTCACAAGCTGACCTAGTTCAATCCCTCGTGCCACCATATTGTTGCTTAGACACTTCTCTCACCCCCAACACACACACACACACACACACACACACACAAAGATGTGGAGGGTAGTAAAGAATATGGTTTTGGAAAATATCATGTGAGGTCCTTTAACTCACTGGGGCCTGAGTTTTGTTTATCTGTGTAAAGGGACTGAACTATTGCAGCACTAAATTCTATACAGAACAAAGTTGCTATTAAGACCAGGAAAACATGAAGACAAAAATATTTTAGAGATCTTTACAGCACACAGCAGCAGAGAAGAAGGGCTGCGTGGGGGGGGGGGGGGGGGGCTCTACAGCTCCCGGAGAAGACACCAGGTTCCAAAAAGAGCCGAGATCACGGGGAAGTCCCAGATGGGGTAGGTGCCGCATCCTGCCTCCTCCAGATGGAACCCCGGTGACCAGAAGCCTCTACAAGCATAGCTTGAGTATGCGGGAACTAGGACTTTTCCTCCAAACCGCGCGGCCGCGTAATCTCTGTTTATACAAAGTGATCAATGGAAAGTAAATCATCCAACATTTCTCCCTGAAAATCAGGCTTAACTCTTATAGCACAGCGGGTAGGGCGTTCGCCTTACAAGCAGCCAACATGGCCGACCCGAGTTCGATTCCTCCGCCCCTCTCGGAGAGCCCGGCAAGCTACCGAGAGTATTCAAGATGCCAGACACAGTAACAACAAAGTCTCCAATGGAGACGTTACTGGGCCCGCTCGAGCAAAACTCTTATACAAACCACAACACCCAATAGGAGAGAAAGAACAAAAGTGAATGCCCTGCCACAGAGACAGGGTGGTTTGGGGAGGATGGGGGGTGGGAGGGATACTGGGATCCGTGGTGGTGGGAAATGGTTGCTGGTGGAGGGATGGGTATTCAAAATAAATAAATAAATAAATAAATAAATATTTTAGAGCCTAAGGATGTAGCTCGGCAGTAGAGCACTTGCCAAGCATGTGTGGCCCTGAGTTTGATCTCTAGCACTGCAAAAAAATAAAATTATAGGAACCAGAGCAAGGTAGGGCACTTGTCTTGCATGTGGCTGACCTTGGTTCAATCCCTGGCACCACTTATATCCCCCTGAACCCACCAAGAGTGATCCCAAAGTGCAGAGATGAGAGTAAACCCTGATAACTGCGGGGTGTGGCCCTCCCCCCAAAACAAAACAAATGTATATGTATATCTTATATAATTTGATATTAAGACCTATAATGCTAACTTACCAACAATTATAAAGTTAATCTTAACAGGGTTAAATGAACATATAAGCTCAATGAATGAAAAAAATAATACCAGTGCACTGTCCTTAAATGGCTCCTTTCTTTCCACAATACCTGATCACTGGATAGATTCCATACGCCGCTGATTTTATCATACAGATGTTCTTGTGGTAATAATCTTAGTTGTTTATTTCTAATTAGTGCACCTCTCAATTTAAAATCACGATACATTTTAGATGTTTCATATGCTCTATAAAAAAGAACAAAAAAAATTAAATGTATATATACCCAAATATAAAAATAGTTTCCTTTTCAATAAATTTTGATGGTTCTAGTTTCTAAAAAATAAAATTTTAATATGGTAACATTGGTTTAAATATTATGTAAGCTTCAAATATAATGCATTATAATTCACATCTTATTCACTGTGTAATATATAATGATCACCACTAAAAGTCCTTTTCTTTCAAAATTATTTCCCATTCCCTGCTTGCACTGCTTGCTCACACTTGGTCAGAGAGAGCTAGCAATGACACACCTGTTGTGGTGTCAGGGATCTTGGTGGCATTGTTGCCAGGCTCACATCAGTGATGTGGGTAGAACTGGGATTAGAATCGTGGCCTCATGCCTACAGGGCAGGTGTTCTACCACTGTGCCATATACCTGCATTCTAAAAGTCTACTATCTTTCCCATATCATGCATCCCCTAGAACCATTTTCATTCACCGCACACAGCCTTTCCTTACTGATAACCCTCAATCTGTTTTAATTTAAGTTTGTTTTAACTTGGTGTCTTCTTTCTTTATATTCTACATATCTGACTTAGTTCATTCAGCATAATAGCCTCTAGTTCTATTCACTGTTACATATAGCAAGCTTCATCTTTAATAAGAGCTGAGTAATATACCATTTTATGTGTACACATGTGTGTGTAAACAACAGAGATTACAATTTTTTTGTCATTTGGTTTAGTATTTAAACTTCTTTTTTTTTTTTTTTTGGTTGAGGGAATCACACTCAATAGTGGTGCTCATTTACTCCTGGCTCTGTGCTCAGGAATTACTCCTGGTGCTGCTTGGGAACCATATGAGATGCTGGAGATTGAACCCAGATCAAGGCAAATGTCCTACCTGTTGTACTACTGCTCTGGCCCCACAATTTATCTTCTCAGATTTTTCAGATGTCTTTGTCTTTCTTTGGTGGGGGCGGGGGGGGGGTGAGTATGGAAGCTCAGGCCACACTTGGCTTACTTTTGGCTCAGAGCTCAGGAGTAACTTCTGAAGGGATCAGGGTAACATGTTATGCTGTGGATCATATACATGCAAGACAAGTGCCCTACCTGCTGTATTTTTCTGGTCACTGTCTGAATCTTTTTTTTTCTGGGGAGTACAGCTAGGTTTGTTCTGGAGTGACTACAGTTAGGTACTCAGGAGACTAAGCAGTGCCAGCAATCGAATCCAGTGCCTTATTCATACAAGGCAAGTTCTCTGCCACTAAGCCATACCCCAACACAGATGTCTAATTACCTCTTATTTTTTTTGGGGGGGGGGGCAGGGGAGTTTGTGGTCACACATGGCAGTGCTCAGTGGCTATTACTGGTTTTGCTTCTGTGCTCAAGAGTGACCCCTGGTGTTATATGAAGGACCATACATGATATTGAGGATTGAACTAGGGTGGGCTAAACTGACTTGTTCTATATGTACTATCTCTCCAGCCCAGATGTTTGATTCTTAAGACAAAGTCATATAGCACAAAGCTAGGAAACATTAATCTCTAAAATGGAAAATAATGCTTGCCTGTATTAGACAAAAAAATTAATTGCTTAGGGGGGCTAGAGAGAGTACAATGGGTAGGGCAATTGTCTTGCATGTGGCTAACCTCGGTTTGATCCCAGGCATCCTATATGGGCCCCTGAGCACCAAGAAAAGTAATTCCTGATGCAGAGCCAGGAGTAACCCCTGAGCATCACCAAGTGTGGCCCAAAACTCAAACCAAAATTAATTGCTCAAAATACTTCATTTCTGTTTTGGTCAAAGACACCATTATCCTTTTGAAGTCCAATTATTTTTCTCAGTGCAATCTGAAAAGATTATCCTCACAAATTTTTACTTTTTTTTTTTTTGGCTTTTTGGCTCACACCCGGCAATGCACAGGGGTTACTCCTGGCTCTGCACTCAGGAGTTACTCCTGGCAGTGCTCAGGGGACCATATGGGATGCTGGGAATCGAACCCGGGTTGGCCACGTGCAAGGCAAATGCCCTACTCGCTGTGCTATCTCTCCAGCCCCCTCACATTTACCTTTATGACAGAAAATTAGAACAATTACAAAAGGGACACTAGGATTATTGTATTTGTGTCTACATATAAAAAAATTCCTGGGGCCGGTGTGATAGCACAGCGGGCAGGGCGTTTGCCTTGCACGTGGCCAACCTGGGTTTGAACCCCGGCAACTCATATGGTCCCCCAAGCACCACCAGGGGTAATTCCTGAGTGCAGAGCCAGGAATAACCCCTGAGCATCGCTGGGTGTGACCCAAAAAAAAGTAAAAAAAAATTCCTGTAACTGTTTTCTTTCCATTCTTCCCTACTGAAAATAACAAACACAAAAAAGCTTTTTGATTGCAAAAGAAATTTACACTAAATCAAGAAAAAAATTCTATTAATGGAAGAAAATATACACGTACACGTACCTACAGCTTATAAAGGGCTAATATCCTGTATATAAAAAATATTCACAAAACTCGGTTTAAAAAAATTTAAAAACAGGGAAGAGGGGACAGAGAGATAGGATAGAGGTTGAGGCACTTGCCATGCAGGTGGCCACTCCCAGTTCAATCCCTACGCTAATGGTGGTCCCTGAGCACCACCAGTAGTGACTCCTTAGTACAGAGCCAGGGAACAGATTCTAACCACTAACAGGTATGGCCCTAAAACAAAACAACAAAAGAGGTTGGTGAAATAAGAACTGACAGACATTTCTCCAAAGACAATATATATATAAATGAACATGAAAAAATGTTGATTGTCACTGACTCTCAGGAAGTATAAATCAAAATGGCAACAAGATATCACCATATGTCAGTAGTGAGAATGGCCTATATCAAAAAGTCCAGACACAACAAATACATTCAGGGATTTGGAGAAAAAGGAACCCTCATTTAGTGTTGGTGAGACTGCAAACTAGTATGGCCTCGTGAAAAACGGTACAGAGATTCCTCAAAAAGTTAAAAACAGAACTACCATATGATCCAATAATTCCACTCCTAAATAGCTACCCAAAGAACACTTATCTATCCTTGAACTGATTCAAGGATAAAAAAGTTGTGTTAAACATACACAACAGAATGCTACTACGCAGTTATAAGATGAAGTCTTTCTTCTGCTGCAACATGAATGGAATTGAAGGTTTTTATGTTAAATTAGAAGGAGAAGGGCAAATAGCAGATGATCTCACTCAAATAAATGAAAAATATCGAACTGGAGTGATAGTATAGTGTGTAAGGTGCTACCTTTGTATGCAGCGACCCAAATTTGATCTCCAGCATGCCATGTGCAGCGCCAGGACTAATCACCCCTGAGCATCGTCAGGTGTGGACCCAAAACAAACAAACAAAAACCTATTCCCATTTCCAAATAACATAAATACATGCTTCCATTTGAGCAGTTGCATAGGTTCATTTTCTACATTTAAAACACTACTTTGGAAATATTTGGGTTTAAGATAAAAAAGAAAAAATTCACAATAAATTTTATGTACTATTTTTAAATAATCCCAAAATTTCTTACCAATATTTTTAATAACTTAAAATTTATATATATAAATTTATAAATGTGTACACGTTATACATATATGTGTATATATATAATATATAATTTTTGGGAGGGTCACCCATGGCATTGCTCAGGGAGTAAGTACAGACACTGCTGGATGTGACCCCAATATAAAACGAAACAAAAATGTTGATACCAGCGTGAAAAGAGAAGACTTCAGGAACCATCCAACCAACTACAAAACAATTGAAAGATTCTATAAAAAAAATCCAAATCTGGGGCTGGAGTAATAGCACAGCAAGCAGGGCATTTGCCTTGCACGCGGCTGACCCAGGTTCGATTCCCAGCATCCCATATGATTCCCCGAGCACCGCCAGGAGTAATTTCTGAGTGCATGAACCAGGAGTAACTGGGTATGTGACCCAAAAAGAAAAAAAAAATTCAAATCTGCCTTGTACAATTGGAAAAAAAGACCTTTGATTTAATTAACAAAATGATCCACATTGGTTATCTAAAAATGAATGAATTTCTCTTTTACTATTACTGTTTTGGCAGCTGGCTTAAGAATATCCAGCAGAAATATTTATGAATTTTCAGTAGACTTATGTTTTAAAAACTTTATCCTTCAAAGTATTTTTTAATAATTGTATGTTCTGAATATCTTTGGAATATTTGTAATAGAGATTAGAGGAACCTGCATAATACTTTATTTTTATTTTTTTGCTTTTTGGGTCACACCCAGAGGTGCTCAAGGGCTACTCCTGGCTCTACACTCAGGAATTAGTCCTGGTGGTGCTCAGGGGGACCATATGGGATGCGAGGGGGAATGAACTCGGGGTGGCCACATGTAAGGCAAATGCCCTACCTGCTGCACTGTTGCTCTAGCCCAGCATCATACATTTAAACTTATCCTCTAAACCTTTATATATCATAGTATTACTTTAAAAATATTTAACAATCCATAAAGTATTACCTTACCTATGCACTGCGATCACTGAAGTAAAAAGTCTAGGGCTTCCAGGAACTAAATTTGTAAATATAAACTCAAAACGAGTACTGTTACATTTTGTTAGTATGTAAAGAGCTTCCGTCTGGCCTCGTAATTTCTGTAAGGGCAAATTTATTTATTTATGGATTTATTCTTTAAAAGCTCAGAGAAAATAATTTAAAAGGTCAAAGCAAATTCCTCATTCATGTTGAGAACAAACATCAGCCTCAAATAGTTGTTTCATCACATGTATATTTCAGTAAGATTTTTTAAACTTACAGAGTTGGCAGTCCTTGTTGTAATACTCAATACGCAGTTATAACCGATAGCTAAAATTAAAAAGCAAAGATTTTAAAGACTATGATACAATAAATGGAGGAGTAAAATCTATACAGAACTTTACCAAGTTAAGATCTTAAACATATAAAACTAAAACTTATGAATTTTTATGAATAATTACAAATTTAAGTTAAGTCACTAAAACTGGAGAGCCAATTCTGTCTGTAAGCAAACAAAAAGCATACAGAACATCAAACAAAGGAAGTTTACTTTTCTAAAAGCTCCATGGTATTATTAACTAAAAGTTTAACACAGCTATACCAAGAAGAAAAGTCTGTAAGTCAAAATAGTCTTTTAAAATACATGAAAATATATGAGACAGGGATGGAGTGATAGGACAGAAGGAACGGCTCTTGCCTTCCATGCAGCTGGCCAAGGTTCGATCCTTAGCATTCCATATGGTTCCCTGAGCCCTGCCAGAAATAATTCCTGAGTGCAGAGCCAGGAGTAATCCCTGAACACTACAAGGTATAGCCCCAAAACCAAAATTTTGAAATAAGTGAGACAAAGTTTAACAAACAACGAAAGCCCGTACAGGAGTTTTGATCAGTGCTTCTCAACTAGGGGTCATCTGACTCCTGTGTACCTCCAGGATATTCCAAGAGGCTACAGATGAATCACATAAATAGAGGGTGACAGCAGGAAACTAAGAGACTAACTGGTAGGACAGGGGGCCACAGAAAGGAAACAACACAAACAGAAGGGAGCCACAACTGATGAAGAAAAGTTGCCAAAGATAAACAAAAACTAAAAATCAATATAAAAGTACTAATCTCTTATGTTTCCAAAAGGTATAATAGAAAGATTGAAAAACACTTCTTTTGCATTTGTACATAGTCAGTCTCAGGTTAGTACAGGGTTTCTGAAGTTTAATCACTATCAGTTTTCCACATATTCCTGGTATAGCATTTTTGAAATCAAAAGCCACTACGTAAATTCACATAACAAGGAGTCTTTAATTATGTGTTACCTGACAAAACTACTTACAGAGATTGACTCTGGGTAGAGACAAAGAGTGCCAGATAATTCTTAAATTTGTTACCAAGAGTCTACCTAAATCAAAGTAAAACACAGAAAATCAAAAGAAGTTAACTCAAGGACCCATTTTTGTAGTACAGAATAAAGTGGACATGGAACTTCTGACCTAGTATCAGAAGCAAGCACAGTTTAAATAAATATGTATATATGTAATATGTATATGCTTATTAACTGAAAATATTCATTGCCTTCATTTGCCCTGTTAGACATAAAATGTGATTTAGAATACCAAGGGAAAAAATGTGAGGGGATATAAGTATTCACTGACAACAGTTTGGTTTGACTCAAAGAAATGGAGAAAACTGTGTGCTGATAAATTCATTTGTAACTGTACTTCTCAGTGAATTCTCATAAGCTCATTAATATGAATGTTCTTAAGCAATTCTATCATATAAGTGCTCTTAGCAATTCTTGTTTAAATGAACTATACAATTATATACCAAATTTTACACACTGGTGAGCAGCAAACTATTTTGCTGATATTGTGTTTTGTTTTTTTTTTTTTTTTTTGCTTTTTGGGTCACACCTGGCTATCCACAGGGGTTACTCCTGGCTCTGCACTCAGGAATCACCCCTGGCAGTGCTCAGGGCACCATATGGGATGCTGGGAATCGAACCCAGGTTGGCTGCATGCAAGGCAAATACCCTACCCACTGTGCTATTGCTCCAGCCCCTTGTTTGTGTTTTTCTTTCTTAGCATCAACTGATGTTCTTACACTGAAATATAAACTTAAATGTTGCTTCTCAAAGTGTTGCATGTGGAATAGTAGTTCCTAGAAATACTCCAAGAAAAAAAGTAAAATAATCTGAGACTGGTAAACCATGTCTTAGAAATTTAGAGTGCCCTGATACAGGGATTGGAGCAATAGTATAGTACAGCACAGGAAGGGTAACTGCCTTGCACATGGCCGACCCGTATTCCATTCCTGGTGTCACATATAGTCCCCTGAGTCCAACCAGGAATGATTCCTGAATGCAGAGGCAGGAGTAAGACCTGAGCATCACTGGGTGTGGCCCAAAAACAAATGAAAAAAAAAAAAGAAAAAACCATGAGAAACCATGAAATTTTACATGCTTTGTTTGACTAATACTAAGAATCTAGAACCTTTTGAGTGGTCTAGACAGGACATCTTCTCAGGGTCAGGGGTAAAAGGGGAGGAAAAGGAGGGACAAACTGAAGACAGTAATAAGTAATTCAGGCAAGAGAGGTTGCCTGTATTACTGTCAGACTTTGATCTGATAGCAACAGAAGCAGAGGCGTTAGGTGGGCTTAGTATTGAGTCTGGTGAGAAATCAACATTTCTGAGATGATAATAATGCTTGACCCCGCAGTTCAGAAAGCCAACATAGACAGTTTAGCTATCACCTGGTAATTTGTAACTCTAGAAAAGTTGATTTCTCTCTCTCTCTCTCTCTCTCTCTCTCTGTCTCTCTCTCTCTGTCTTTCTCCCTCTGTCTCTGTTTCTCTCTCTCTCTCTCCCTAAGAGAGAGAGGGAGAAAAAATTTAGGACTTCCCCAATGTACAGCATGTACTGTACTAATTGAGTGAAGTTTCTTTTTAACTGCTCCTTCTTTAGTTTCTGTCTGAAAAAGAGAACAACCTGCTTCAGTTATGTTTTATAATTAGTTTTTTTATTAAATACGATTATATAAGAAAGTCCCAGAACAGTTACTGGCAAATAATAATAAAAATGTTAACTATTATTATTAGAATTTTTAGTATTTAATTATTTTGTGGGGGGATTGTTTGAACCACACCCAATGGTATTGAGGGCTACTCCTGGCTCTGTACTTGGGAGTAAGTGATGATCCTGATGATGCTCAAGGGACAGACAATGCTGGGGATCAAACCCAGGGACAAGTACATACAAAGGGTCAAGTACATTTGATCTCTCTCCCTTTAATTCTTTACAAATTTGTTTTTATGACTTGTTACTGTGGGCTGGAGCGATAGCACTGCGGGTAGGGCGTTTGCATTGCAAGCAGCCAACATGGCCGACCCGAGTTCAATTCCTCCGCCCCTCTCGGAGAGCCCGGCAAGCTACCGAGAGTATCTCGCCTGCACGGCAAAGCCTGGCAAGCTCCCCGTGACGTATTCGATATGCCAAACACAGCAACAATTGTCACAATGGAGACGTTACTGGGCCCACTCAAGCAAATCAATGAACAACGGGAGGGCAGTGACAGTGACAGTGACTTGTTACTGTAGATAGACATTTATATTTTCCTTATGCCATTTCACCTTGGTAACATTATTCCTAACAACTGGGCTACTGGGTTCAGGACACCCAGTTGTTCTTTTTATTTGTTTGTTGCTTTGTGGGGTTTTTGAGAAGCCATACCCTGCAATGCTCAGGAGTGACTTCTGACTCTGCTCTCAGGAATTATTCTTGGTGGTGCTTGGAGAACCATAAAAGATACTGGGGATTAAACCCAGGTTGGTCACATGCAAGGAAAGCACCCACTATACTACTTCTCCGGCCCCAATTATTCTTTTAAAATAATTTTTTGAATGGGGTTGGAGTGATAGCACAGCGGGTAGGGCGTTTGCCTTGCACGCGGCCGACCCGGGTTTGATTCCCAGCATCCCATATGGTCCTCCGAGCACCACGAGGAGTAATTCCTGAGTGTCTGAGTCAGGAGTGACCTCTGGGCATTGCCAGTTGTGACCCCTACCCCCCAAAATGTATACATATATATATCTGTGTGTGTGTGTGTGTGTGAGTGTGTGTGTGTGTGTGTGTGTGTGTGTGTGTGTGTGTGTGGCCACACCTGGCTGTGCTCAGGGATTACTCCTGGTTTTGTACTCAGGGATCACTGGCGGCAGACTAAGGGACTGTACATGGTAACAGAAACTGAACCTGGGTCAGCTGTGTGCAAGTGTCCTATCTGTGGTACTAGATCTCTGGCCCATTGATTCTTTTAATCACTGTCACTGTCCTCCCGTTGTTCATCGAGTCTTTTAATATTTTCTATTATAAGTTTCCTAGAATTTATGAAGTGGGAAGAATTTACCTTATAAAACCATTGACTTTGGGCCAAAGAGGTAGTAGTTTAATGAGCTGAGAGCATGCCCGGCATGCAGGAGAATTGGGTTTGATCCCGGGCACCACATGCTCCCTTGGGCACTGCCAGGAGTAACCCTTGAGCATCAGCCTGGAGTAGTCTCTGAACACTTGTAGGTGTGGCCACCCCCCCCCATAAAACCAAAGCAACCAAACAACAACAACAAAAAATAACAACACCCCCCTCTCACCGAAAAACCCCACTGACCAACCTATATACCTGCTTTCCTGCCTTTAGTACATCTCTGAAATGTAACAGCATTCTTGTGCTTCTCTCTTCTGCTAAAAAACCCTACCCTTTTGCCCCAAACCAAACCTAGTACTCATGCATGAATTTTTTTGCCCTGCCCTCTCAGACACCAAAACATAATTCTCTTTCTCTTTCTTCTACCTCCTATCGCTAATCTGATCATTTCAAGTCAGGATACTTACAGTTGAAGTGGATTAAATGTGTTAATCTTTTGGGATATTTATAAATAGGAGGATCTCCTCCTGGACTTGGCACTGCCTTAACTTGTTAATTTTCAAGCTGCTGAAAGGCAAGGAGATGGCTAGAAGCAAGGTTCATCCCATTTCCGACCTTATTAATCAGCAGTTCTGCATATGCTTACAAAGAGCCTCAACAAAGGTTTCTTTTCTTTTTCTGTTTTTTTTTTTTTGGGGGGGGTAGGCAGGGGAGCCATACCTGGTGGTACTCAGCAACTACTCTCGGCTGGCTGTGCATTCAGGAATGCAATTCCGCATTGTGGAGAGGGAAGTGTTTTGCTCTTCCTACTCCAAAGTACCAGTAAAGAATTATTTACTCAATATTTGAAAATTCGAAAAACAAAAAGTCTTATACCATAGTCTATAATTGATGAAAGGACATTAAGGTTCTTGTCAATCTAAGGACCACCAAACTTTCTTGTGGTTTCCTCAAGTTAATTTAATTTAGATTTTTGTCAAGAAACAGTCATCTGAGGGAAATGGTCATTCTGGGAGCTGAAAGAAGGTATAAGTGATATGCATGATACCCTCTCAGTAACAATATTGCAAACTACAGTTTCTGAAAGGAAAACAGAAAAGAAAAAAAGTACCTACCAAAGATGCATGCTGGGGGACAGAAGGGAAAGAGGATATTGATGAAGGGAAGGGGATAATGGTGAAGGGTTTGTACTGGAACACTGTATGCCTAAAACTTTGAATAATTTTGTACTAATGTGATTCAATAAATTAAAAAAAATAGTTATCTATCTTGAGATACTTAGTCATCAAAGGCACAAACTTAAAACTTTTTGTTTGCTCCTAGATCTTTGTTCCTCTCTCTCACCTGGGCTTGGCTAATACTAGAAAGCATTCCAAAATGTGACTCAAATAATTTTTCAAAGATGGGCCTTATGTCAAAATCAGGACTTACGACAGGGCTAGAGTTCTAAGGGAGAACCCGTATTCCCTAGCAAAAGGCTTAGTACTCAATTTTCCATTTATACCAAATAAAAGTCTTATGTGAATTAAACTCTCCCACTCTCACAATTACATGTGGATACAATGCTGTTTCATATCTTACTCCCCAGATAATATCATCTTTATAAACATTTATAAACTAAATCAGAAACATAAAATACATTAGAAAGTTAACTCACCTCTATCCCCATTATTTCCTTTAGTGTCTTCAATTGAATCTAAACAATCAATAAGGGCTTCTCCAGGTCTCGTTTTCATTTGTCTGAAATAAACACAGATGCTTTAATTTTACTGCTACAACTACACCTACTTAGAATCAATTTAGAAATGACATATGTTCATTTAAAACAGGCAATTGTATAGAAGATATAATACCAACTGCTCATGAGGTCTTCAAGAACACAGAGAAGAAATCTGTAGTTATTGGGAATACAAAGAATAAAACAGAACCAGAAAGAAGTCATAGGAGCTGGAAAAGAGGGAGACTGGTTAAAGATAAGAAAAAAGAAAGGATGGGGCTGGAGAGATAGATAGGTAAGAAGGAATCAGATTATGGAGAAAGTTGAATACCAAATGGAAAAACAGACCCTTTATTCTGTGGATACTTGAGAAAAACCCAGATTTATTTTATTTTATTTTTTTAATTAAATCACCTTGAGATATAGTTACTAAGCTTTTATGTTTGAGTTTTAATCATACAATGATCAAACACCCATCTCTCCACCAGTGCAAATTCTCCACCATCAATGTCCCCATGATACCCCCACTTTCCAACCCTCCCCCTGCCTCCTTGGCAGACAATTTCCCTTATACTCTCTACTTTTGGGCATTAGAAAAATCCAGGTTTTTAAGTAGAAGAAACAAGGTCCAACAGTTATGAAGGGAACAGGATAAAGCACCTGTGCAGAATCAAGACTTACAAAATAATCACCTGAAGGAAATAAAAGTAAATCATAGTTTTATTTTATTTTTAGTTTTTTTGGGTCACACCTGATGATACACAGGGGTTACTCCTGGCTCTGCACTCAAGAATCACTCCTGACAGGGGACCATATGGGACGCTGGAGATCAAACCGGATAGTGCAAGACACTGCAGTACCATCTGTACTATCTCTACAGTCCCTAAATCATAGTTTGAAGACAATACATTCTAGAGCATCAAAACAACTAGCAGTTTACAACTGTGAATAGGATCATTTTTAAACTCTCTTGCTGCTCTCTTTTACTATTTACATATAGGAAGGCACCTGCTACTAATTCTTAAGATATCTGAAACCAAGTTAGGATTAGGAATCTAGCACAACTCAATCTAAAAACTCAAATCAGTATTTCCCGGGGCATCTAAACACATTCTCAACATAAGGAATCATAAGAAGTGACTAAGAAGCTCCATACCATTAAGTCAGGAACCTTAGTTTTACGATTTTCCAACATGTAACCGTCCAACATAGTTTGTGGAGAGGCTACTCCAGGTCAGGCTGCCCGAGGTGGTGCTGGGTGTTAGTGCTGGGGCTGGATGTAGTGCTGAGGGTGAAGGGGTACAGTAGTCCAGAAGGTGCCGGGATCTAGAACCCTGCCAGCTCGCAGCGTTTGCTGCCCTCCCCCCACCACCACCAACTTCCAGGCGGTAGGCGGCAAAAAACAATACTCCTGGCTTTTCGGTGTCGGGAATTGAACCCAGGGTCGCACTCACAAGCAAAGCGAGCGCTCTACCACTGAGCTACACCCCTGGTCCTCGTCTCCTTCCTAAAAGCAATCCCAGAAAGTCCAAAACGAAGGGCTCCAAACGAGGGCTCTTTTTGCCTGCGGGTGATTAATATGAACAACAGACGGGACCGAACTCCGAACGGGGTTGCCGGGTTAGGAATTTTGGAGAACGCCCCCTCCCGCCTTCCTTCCCTCACTAGACAGAGGATGCTCACAAAGGCGAAGTGATGGGTCTCCGGGCCCACGCGCGCGTCACTCCGGTTCTCCCTGGAGTGGAGCCGGTGGCCGCGGAGTCTCTACTCTCAGTTCCCTTCACAGCACAGAACCAACAGCTCGGGGTCACCCGAGGCTCGCGCAGCCCAGGGGAATCCTCCGTGTCCGAGCTCATTAGCCTAGCCTAGCCGCTCAGGCCTCACGCTACCAGGGCCGCGAGCTGCCGCGGCGCTGCGCCCCTCCCGCGGGCCGGCATCGCCCCGCCGCGCCTTCTGCAGGCCCCCGGGCTGCTAGGCAATCTCAGAGACTCACTGCGAGGACACGTCGAAACGCACATCGCGGTCCTCCCAAAGCGCGTCCAGTACCGACATGGTGACTGATGGCCGAGGCCGGAGGTCTACGCGGGGCTAAAGGACGGGCGGCGTCGTATCGGCTCCATGGCAACGGGCACGACGTCTACGGCGAGCAAAGAGGCCCAACCTTCCTTGAGAGCGCGCGCACTTTTTTTTTTTTTTTTGGCACTGTTGCATCATTGAACGGACGTGGGACGTGCTAGGGGGTCTGAAGATTCGAAGAAGTCAAGGTGGCCCGGGGCCCAGGAGCATGTGTTTGATGCCTGGGCAGCCTTTTCCCAAACAAGTCCTTCAGGCATCCATTTCCTTCATATTTCTTTACGAAAAAACACTAAATCAATCCCTGCCTGGGTCCCGCCTTATTTCTTCATGTCCATTTCCTCGTCTCCTGCCAAGCTCCCTCCTTCCTGCACTTCGCACAGAGACTCTGAGCCTCCGCACCGTCCGACCTCACTTTTGTCCCCTCCCCATCCCCACCCCCGCGGGCCCACTGCCCCAAACTCCATTCTCTCTATACGCTCTGCCCCTTTGTCATTTAAGTCTCAGTTCTTAAGTCAGCTGAGATGGTCCCTGATTTCCCCCCTGCGGTTCTACTGTAAGCACCCCAAGGTCAGGACCACATCAGTATAGTTAGCTTTCAGCAGTGCCCAGATCACAGGTACTGAATAATCACTTTTTTGGTTTGCTGTTCTGATTTTTGGCATTTGGGTCACACCTTGAGTCGTTCAGGATCTATTCAAGGGTGTTGCCGAAATAACCATGTGGTGCCATGCATTGAACTGGGGCTTCCACCAGGGGACTGTGTCCTCCAGACCTGCCAGTTACTGTCTCACCTCCATAAATACTTCTTGAGTCAAAGTATTGTTTCTGTTCAGTGTAAAATGTTAGCAGTGAAGTATGCAAGGGAGATCAATTCCAGATTTGGGGAGAAATGGGAAGGCTAGAGCAGAGAGGAAAGGCTATGTACTTCTACTGTCTTCCTATCAAAATACCCATTTCTGTACTAGATGCAGTGCCTGCTTTTGATGCTGCAAGTAAAGTGAAGAAACAGACCTCTTCTTTTCCCAATGTCAACAGCCCTCCAATCATTTCAATTTGGAAATCAATTACTGTTCAAAGTAAACTAACGTAATTCCATTCACTTTACATCAGCATTTCTTAACCTTTATAAGGTTTAATTCTCTTCATATCTTTATAGTTCACAGTCCACAGTCCTCCCGTTTTTCATCGATTTGCTCGAGCAGGCCCAGTAACGTTTCCATCATGAGACTTCTTGTTACTGTGTTTAGCATATCGAGTACGTCATGGGTAGCTTGCCAGGCTCTGCCGATCTTTATAGTTAAGATAATATAAATATATCATTTTTATATAAATTAATAAATACATAATCTACATAACATAGCACTGTAGCACTGTCCTCCCATTGTTCATCTATTTGCTCAAGTGGGCCCAGTAACGTCTCCATCGTGAGACTTGTTGTTACTGTGTTTGGCATATCAAATACCTCACAGGTAGCTTGTAAAACCATATTATATCATTTATTTCACTCTCACTGTCACTGTCATCCCGTTGTTCATCGATTTACTCCTGTGGGTGCCAGTAATTTTCCATTTGTCCCAGCCCTGAGATTTTACTAGCCCCTCTTTACTTGTCTTTCCCAACGCTGCCGTATTGAAGGCTCTTTCAGTGTCAGGGGAATGAGACCTGTTATTGTTACTGTTTTTGGCATATAAAATATGCCATGGTAGTTTGCCAGGTTCGCCGTGTGGGTGGGATACTCTCGGTACTCTTGCCAGGCTCTCCAAGAGATGGTCACGGTCACGGTCCTCCCGTTGTTCATTGATTTGCTCGAGCAGGCCCAGTAACATCTCCATCGTGAGACTTGTTACTGTGTTTGGCATATTGAATACTTCACGGGTAGCTTGCCAGGCTTTGCCGTGCGGGGGAGATACTCTCGGTAGCTTGCCGGGCTCTCCGAGAGGGGCGGAGGAATCGAACTTGGGTTGGCCATCTTGGCCGCCTGCAAGGCAAACACCTTACCAGGTGTGCTATCGCTCCAACCCCTCCAAGATATATATATGTATATATATGTATATAAATCCCTTTATGATTGGTTGTCTACTGTCTGAACCCCATCAAATATGGTGTGGTAATTATGGACAATGGGTAGGGAGTATCTTATGATGTGTCCAGGAATATGTTCACTCATATGTGAGGCTCATATTATAATATATATAATATATGTTATCACTGTCACTGTCACTGTCCTCCTGTTGTTCATCGATTTGCTCAAGCGGGCCCAGTAACATTGTGAGACTTGTCACTGTGTTTGACATATTGAATACGTCACGGTTAGCTTGGCAGTCTTTGCCATGCGGGCGAGATACTCTCGGTAGCTTGCCGGGCTCTCTGAGAGGTGCGAAGGAATTGAACCTGGTTCGGCCATGTGCAAGGCAAACGCTCTACCACTGTGCTATCACTCCAGCCCATACATATAGGGCCCGCTCGAGCAAATCGACGATCAACGGGAGGGCCTTTACCTTATATATTATATACTTATATATAAATAAATTATAATCTAGATAATATAAAGCTATATTATCTAGAATTTCTATCTATATTATATAGAACACTATTTCACACTGTTTACTCGTGGCCAGACAGTCTGAATTATCAAACTCCCTATTTTCAGTATATACTTGTACTTTTCTTTTTTGAGAAGGATCTCTTCAGGGCTGGGAGCCATTCCCTGCAATTCTTAGGAATGGTGGTAGAACTTTGGACCGAAGGAAGCGCCTCATGAATATAAAGCATACACTCTGTACTTTGAGTTATCTCCCCAAAGTTACTTGCTTGCTTATGTTATCTACTCTCCTCTTGAAAGAAACCTATCAGACATATATATTTCAAAACCAATACTGACAATAGTAGAAATTTATGCTATTATTCATTATAAATTTATAAAATGATTTTTAAAAATAATATTTATTCAAAATTTATATATGTGGAGAGTGGATTTGTGCCACATATAGCTGCACTCAGAAACTATCCCTGGATCTGGTGCAGAAGTGGTCTCTAGTGGTACTCAGTACTTAGGGGACCATATAAAATAGTGAAAATTCAAACCTGAGTTGATGAAATGCAAGACAAGTGCCTTAACCCCTGTACTATCTCTCCAGTCCTATATCCACATTGTATACATTGTACTACTTGTATTACAAACATTATATAGCCTTGAGCTAATTGATGTGTGCCATAGGCCAGTGAATCTTTTGAATAAAAAAAGAGCAAGGAAAGTGTCTATTTGTTTGTATTTCATAGTTATTTTAAAATATAAATTTTCAACCAATACCTCCAAAATAGATGTTCTGGGGTGTCCTAAATTATTTTAATAGCATGCCATTAATAGTATATAGTAACACATTTAGGAGGTTATTGTTTTGTCTTACAATATGATTTGTGTGCTGAAATTGAGTTTCGAAGCTCAATGGGCTGGTAAAATTGCAACACTTTACAGCATTAAACATAAACATTATAAATGGAATCAGTTTAATTGTTATTGTTCTTTCATGCAAATCCCAAACACAAAAACAGTCTGATGATGTTGGAACTATTTACAGTACATTAACCATCAGGTTAAATTTTAAACATTAAAGAGGTTATTGAATGAATAAAAAAAAGTTACTCTCTATTTCTTAGAATTTCCATTGTGTATTGATTGTAACATATGTAGTAGAGTTTAGAAAATCCATTTTGGGGGTTGAAGAAATAGTACATCAGTAGGACACTAACTTTGCATGTGGTCTACCTGGTTTTGATCCCTGGCACCACAGATTGTCCCCTGAACACCATTAGTAGTGATGCCTGAGCAGAGCCAGGAGTAAGCCCTGAGCATATCTGGGTATAGCCCCAAAACCAGAAAGAAAGAAAAAAAAGACTAAAGTTCAACAAAGACATTTGACATTTTCCCTCCTGTTCTATATTATTTCTGCATATATTGACATGTGAACAAGCCGGGTTCCGAAAAGGATTCAGTACCATCGACCATATATATCCACATGATTACTAAGCTCATTGAGGTTTCTCAGGAGTTCAAGATGCTGCTCTGTCTAACGTTCATTGATTTAAAGAAGGACTTTGATTCTGTTGAAACGGAAGCGGTCATAGAAACCCTAGCCAATCAGGGCGTACAAACTCAATACATCAGGATCCTTTGTGAGCTCTATTACGGATTCACTACCAGGATCTCACCATTCTACAAAGAAGTAATCATTGATGTCAAGAGAGGGGTTCGGCAGGGTGATACCATTTCACCGAAACTCTTCAGTGCCACCCTCGAGAACATCATGCGACGACTGGAATGGGAAGGAATGGGAGTGAAGATAGACGGTCGGCAACTACACCACCTCCGCTTTGCTGATGACATTGTTCTAATAACACCAAACATCAGCCAAGTGGCACAAATGCTGACAGACTTCGACCATGAGTGTGGAAAGGTCGGACTACAGCTGAATCTTACGAAGACAATGTTTATGAGAAACAGCCTCGTTCCTGACGCTCCATTCGCTCTCAACGGAACCACCATCTCCGAATGCAAGAGTTATATATACCTAGGTCAAGAAATCAACATGATGAATGACCTGGCACCTGAGTTGTGCAGGAGGAAGAGAGTGGCTTGGAATGCCTTCAAGAGTGTTGAAGAAATAACTAAGAGGACAAAGAAACTCCAGCTATGAGCACATCTCTTCGATTCCACTATTCTTCATGCATTAACATATGCCTCAGAGACCTGGGCCCTACGAAAACAGGATGAGAACGCTATTCGGGTCTCTCAAAGAGGACTCGAAAGAGCTATCCTTGGAATATGATGATTCACTCAAATGAGAGATAGAGTTCGGAGTTCTGATTTCTGTCAACGCTCAAGAATCAGGGACGCTGTCTCATTTGCCAAGGCATCAAAAATCACATGGGCTGGACACGTAATGAGGCTTACAGACAACCGCTGGACTAGAGCCATTACTGACTGGATTCCACGGGACGTCAAAAGATCGCGTGGACG